AAACATTGGAAAGTCAGTCACCCAGAGTATTGAATGCCTGGACTAGATATACAAACAAAAGAAAGTTGGACATCAGGACATACAAGATGCTAGTCATGAACCTAGCTCTTCTACAGATAAACACATCATGTTGACCCAAATTTGGACATCAGAAACTTACATTGTCAATTAAACCCAATTCGTGTGCTACATATGTTCTCAGACGATCCAAAGTTTTATTGACTTCTGCATAGTGACCAACAGCAAACAAGATAAGATCATCTGGTACCGCAGACAACTGATTCAGCAATTCCTCTTTCTTTTCCGTATCCAAACTAGAAACCAGCTGGGGAATCCCTTCAATGCTCCCTGAGAAATTTCAAATAACCAATATAAGGCAAGAGAGAAACTTTTCTGATAAGTAAGGCAAGAGAGAGAAACGTGAAGGTACATCCACATAAAGTGTAAGGTCTTGAAGCCTCGATATGGCCCACACCCTGGACCTAATTTTTCTTCTTCACACTTACTTGGAAGCCATGGATGTGTAAATTTTGTGGGGGAGGGAAAGAACTGTTTCATTTGTATGGCAATTATTGAGAAAATCCCTTCATTGCGGGAAGTGGACTAACCCCACAAAGTTACTAAACTTAAAGAAGAATTTCATCTAAGGCTAAAAGAGAACCATAAGTAGAACTTTCATTACCATCATTCAAGACCTTTAAAAAAGGCAAACCCTTTGCCCCAGATTTGATTGCTTCTTTACATATGTCGCCTTTCTTCAAAGAAGTATTTGAATAAGTTTTTGTCCCAGAAGGCACACATAAGGCCTTAATAATTCCTCCACTTGCTAAGGCATCTGAGAAAACCTTGAATGTGGAATTGGAGAAAATGCCGGACACCTGGATGTGAAACAAAACAAGGATCATCAGCAACACTGCCAAATCCAAACTAAGGGTGGTATCATAAATGACATACTTGGTTAAATTTCTTCATATGGAGCACCTATGCAGATAATACAACTATATAGACAAGGAGCGGAAGTTGCAACGCAGAAGCAGTAAGCTTGTAGACTAAATGCTCTTAACACAATCAGTTGTACAGAAAAGAGCAAAATCATTGTGAAAAAGGTAAATTCAGATATACTAATTCAAGGCAAGTGAATTGGGTTGTGCTCGAACTTAATTGGTATGATCACCTCCAGCTCCCCCCACCCCACCCCTGAGCCCTAAAACAAAAGCCCCAATCCAAAAGAGTAAGAGAAAGAATAAGGTATGTCAACAAGACAACAAATACATGTCCATTATAGCAAGAAAGAAGAAATACACTGTCAAGACAAACAGAAACAAAGAAGAGCAAAGATCTATATTGGAGTCTGCAGAAGAATTACATCTCTCAATTCGACATCAAAACGAGTATCTGGTCTATCTGAACCATATCGACTCATTGCTTCAGCATATGTAAGCCTTGGAAAAGGATTTGGCAGTTGGACACCTTGGATTTCCTGAAAAACCTGCAACAAAAGATGTGACAATGCATCACTTGATTTTTTCCTGGATAGGAAGGTAAAAGTTTTCCCTTGTTTTGAATTCTTTTACCGTGCCAAGACAAACTAAGTCTATCGGAAACAACCTCTCTACCTCACACAAGATAGAGGTAAAATCTTCGTACATCCAACCTTCCCAGACCCCACTTGTGGGATCATACTGGGTGTGTTGTTGTTGTATAAGATAAACTAAATAAAAAGACCTCATTAAGTACTTTAGACAAATCATCCCATGAATTTCTGACAAGACACTCTTTTGGCATATGAATAGTCTGCTTAGCAATTTTTAAACAAAATTGTATGACGCCATTCCACCTCATTCTAAACACTTGAAGTTCTAGGTAGAGATCTTGGCCAAAGGCGCCTCCAAAGATAAATGTCTAAGACGCTCAGTGCCATGCGGGACTCGAACAACTATAACCACCACCAGTATTTAACATCATTTATTTTCTTTGCTCAGCTACAAGACATGTTTCTTTGGTCAGCTACAAGACATGTCGCATAAGCATAAGCACACAACTTACAATCTTTGAAGAGTGCTAAAACTTGGAAGAAAGAAAACAGGATAGATTTTGTGCTAACACAAGTAATAGCATGTGCCAGTATTGACTGATAAGAATGCATGCCAAATCCATGTTCAAGTAATGCTGACAAAAGATAAAGAGAATTGAGTTTTCACTTTCCACTGCATATCAAAGCTCACATTTCAAGAAATGTAGCTATATATCCCAGTTCAGCAATTATACCCACATCTCTGCAAAAGAAGATGCTCTATGCACACTAAATAGGGGGGAAACCAAAAAAGAAACCCTACAGCAGCTTAATATTTTCTTGCAGGAAAACTTATGTTAAGAATAAAGTTGCTCGGAGTCGGGTGCGGGTATCCGATACGGGGACCGATCCGAGTATCGGATTCGGCAAAATCTAAATTTTAAGATTCGGTGTGCGGATCCGGATATGGATACGGGTGCCGGGATTCGGCTATAAAAAATAGAGCAATAAAAATATTGTAAATTTTGAGAGATATTCTGTGAAAAACTTACATGAATATTGTAAAATTCAATCTTTCATTCTCCAAGATGGACATTATTATTTCATTCTCCTAAATCTGTTTTATTTTTTATTTTGAGAAATCAAAATCTCAATTTTTCTCCCAAATTTGTCGATGGACTCCGGTCAAAGTGTCCGAAGTCAGTTGACCGAATCCGGGACGTATCCTGCTCCCTAGGATTGACAACCATACACCCTAGGATTGACACCACATGTATATTTTGGTGATTTTATAAATAACTAATAAAAATATGGCAATACTTTCACAACTTTGTCATCTCCAGCATCTCTGGAGAAATATATTTCCTCATATGCATGTCCATGTTGCATAAATTCTAAGATAGTGAAAGTGTTTCCCAACAACTTGAGATGCACTGCTGTAGGAAACAACACTTTCTCCAGTAATCTGGCTCTTACAGTATCAAATACATGCTGTTTTTTTAATTCTCGACCGAGCTTACTCCGTGCATTGACATTCCAAAACTATTTAACTAACCTTTCTAATCAAATCCTCATTGAGTTTCAGCATGTCCTCCATAGAAGTGAAAGCCATTTCTATATCTAGCTGTGTAAACTCAGGTTGTCTGTCAGCTCTCAAATCTTCATCCCTAAAGCACCTGAAAATTACACCATACAGACTAATGAGAGTCATAACTCACGGGGTACATGCTCATGATTACATTTTTTTTCTTTATAATAAGAATAAGATAACTACTCTTAGGTTTCGTAAAACTATATTGCTTCACACAGTTTTTAGCGATGAAAACGCCTGAGCTTTTATATCTGGATCACCATGAATTTTGAATGCAAGAGATCTGATGCAGAAATATCTTAAAATGCTATTATACAAATGAAATACCTTGCTATTTGATAGTACTTATCAAAACCAGAGACCATTAGCATTTGCTTGAACAGCTGAGGACTCTGGGGTAGTGCATAAAATGTTCCTGGCTTTATAACACAACCACAAAATAAGTTCCATGTCATGGAGAAATAATGGGAGAAAAAGAGTTTTCCAATTGAAATATGAGTATTGTCCATCAGAAAAAATATCAGTCAGATGTAAAAAAAAATTATCCATCATAAGGGCAATAATTTTGGACAAGTTCTCATTTTGTTAAGCACAATTCTCCTTGGCTCTCCACAAATGAGTATTTCACTTCAAAGGTAAAAGAGAATGAAGAATAAATCAGAGGACTGTAGGAACAAGAAGTGTTATTTGCAAGAAGACTCGCTTCTTTTGTACCAACAACCTTTAAAAAAAAATTGACAGCAAATAGAGGGACTGAATGAACACAAAAAGTGCTAAAACAGAAGATAAGTAAAGAGTACCTGAACTCTAGAAGGGACCAAATAATCACGAGCACCTTCAGGAGTAGATCTAGATAGTATTGGAGTCTCAATCTACCTTGTAACCATGAGAATGTTGGGGTCAACGCTAACAAAAAAAGCCACGAAAAAAAATAAAAAATAACAAAGCAAACATTTTCCTCAAAACCAGATAACCAAATTATCTATTCACAAAAGGAAGAAGAAGAAGAATAGATGTCCAAATTCTATAAAAATACAATTAGAGAGAAGGTATTACCTCGACAAAACCATGCACATCTTCTAGGTATCTTCGGAGAAGTTTCACTACTCTATGTCGCAAGATTATATTTGAGTTCATTTGTGGACGGCGTAAATCAAGGCATCGATATCTAAAAATGTGTACAAGATTAATTTCTAGCAAGAAGCAATACGTCAATGTAAGAAAGGGGTAAAAAATTTTAGGATAAGGAAACAGTTTCTGCAATGAAGAAAAGGATTGTCTTCACCGAACACGTACAAGATCCAAAACGGATCAAAGATGATATTTGATATGTCCAAGAGAGCTGGACTACGCCCTTATCACATCAATACAAAAGCATTGGTAGAAAAAGAGGCAGAAAAGTGAAACACAGGACGACAATGGAAAAATTAATGACTATTTTTTAATATGACAAACCAACACCCTAAACTTCCAACCTACGAGCAAAAAAGTAGCCCTTTCCACTTTGCTCTCTTGGTAACTCGAAACCCCAACCTTAAGGTTGGAGGGGGAGGACCTTTACCATAAGGTTCTCTCTTTTTGTCCTTCAAAATTATAATGACTTCTAAAGCATTGTATTCTTCTTCAGCCAGCTAAGTATATACTAACCTCACACCGGCTTTTAAATGGTGTAAAATACGGGCCTCAAAGACGAAATCCTTAATGGGTTGTTAACAACATGTCAATAACAGCATGCTCTTGCAAGTGTCAGAAACCTTTTAGTGGAAGAGGTGAAGAACATCCGCTAGCTGCATAATTACTCCATAGCAGGGTTGCCAGGGGTTACCATTGGCATCCATCAAAAGGGATGCTCATTACTGGAATCTGGTGATTGAGAGGGTCGAGAAAATCAGGAAGGTAAAAGGAACATCTATTCCAAAAGGATTCAAAGAGATACTGATAAAGAGCACTCTATCTGGTATTCACCCACTACATGTCTCTAATGCATATGCCTGCAACCATGGGCAATGGAGTTGGGCGAACTGCCAAGGAACTTTCTAAGGGAAACAAATAAGGAGTAAAGAAGTACCCACTAACAAATTAGAACATACTCGCATCTCCTGTGAAGATTGGAGGCTTAGGAGTACGGGACCTAAAGGCTTTAACAAAGCCCTAATAAGAAAACAATTTGGGAGCTTGGCATTGAGGATCAACCGCTGTGGAGGAAGGTCACAGCAAATAGATACGAGACTAGATGAGAATTAAAGTAAGTTCAAGGGAAGATGAGAATTTAGAATCCTGAAGCAGATCATGAGGTCGAATACGAAACATAAAAGGAAAACAAACAAAAGATTCAACAAACAGCTGTAGAACATTCATTAGTTACCGCAATCTGATTTCTTCCTTAGCTGAATCTTTTGCATCGTCTGCAGTTGTTACCAAGAAGGGCAACTTCAATCTTACTGCATTCAACACCTGGACATCCTCTGCAGCAACCTGCACGCATAACCAATTAGTGGAAATATAAAAACTTTGGTAAGCAACTGGCATATAAAAAAGTTGCATGACAGGATATAGTCAAAGCCACTAAACAGATCCAATCAATTAAGAAATAATTAGAAGATCATGAAAGTGAAAAGACAAACGTCCTTGGATGATAAGAAACTCAGCTTTAGAAATTTGACTAAGGCCCTTGTCCAGTTTCTGATTTAATTTGACTAGTAATACTTTGGTACTTAATTACTTATTCAGAAACATAACAGCACTTTAGATTAGAGGTAAGGGTGGGCGTTCAGGCAGCTCGGACAGGGTATGAAAATTTTGGTTTAGATGTTCGGCTTTCGGATTGAAGAAATGACAATTCAAATCCAATCCAAATAAGTTCGAATTGGGTCAGATTTTTAAGTTCGGTTTCGGATTAATCGTTATGAATATTTTGGATTATTTGTTTTGAGCCTATAAGTTGAGACATTTCGACTTCTTACAAAAATGAACATCCAAATGAAGTATTCATGTTACATTGCCTAAAAAGTTCCTCATTCTCACTGCAGTCATCCAAATAAAGTGTTCAAATAATGAAATCATCATCAAGAAAATGCAACAGAGTTATTAATAAGGCCGATAAGAATTAACAATAGTAAAACCATGTCCAGATAGAAAGTATTTTGCCAGTAACTTAGTAATTAGTATTGGATATATGAGATAATGTCTAATGGGCATGTTATTGAAAGTATTAGTAATTGGCATATGGATAATGGACTAAATATAAAGTATAAAAATTTTGGATTTTCGAATATCCAAAAATCAAAGTACTAAATCCAACATCCAATCCGAAATCCAAAAATTTTTAAAGTTAATTCCGAAATCCAATCCGTAATCCGAAAATCTAAATCAAATATCCAAAAGATTCGAATTTTGGTTTAGATTTCGGGTTTGCCCAAATTATGTCCACTCCTAATTAGAGGTCAATTTACCCAACAATAAAATGTATGCCATCTTTTCTTTCTCATTTTTCCAGCAACACTTAACTTATTTAAATGCATTTAAGCTACAGCCTAAAAATCTTTACTAGTTATCACAAGTCTTAAAGTTCAATTACACCAATTTGATCAGTTCCATGGCATCCTGTTTGTTGTTTACCGTTCATTATGGAGAGATGTATGCATACAAGATGCTTGTACCATTGAACAAAATATTCAGATCCCCCTGCATAATATACTATGAACATGCCTCATGACAAAAGCAGTAGCCAGAGAAAGCTGGGAACCTAATGGAAAAGCTCTACTTGACATCAAGTAAGATTCTGCAATATCAGAGCCAAAGGTAAATATAACTTTAAAAATGCCACATGATTCTCAATTGTTACGAGCAACCAATGAACGCAATTATATCAAGTAAAAAACAAAACTAATACTATAAAGTTTGACACTCACTAAAAAATATGGAAGAAGAGAGAAGTAATTGTGGTGAATCAAAGGTCGTCTCAAGTTACCTCTATCGTGCCAGTTTTCATCTTTTTGTTGGCAGAGTCAGCTGGCCTAGGCCGAACAACACCTTCAATGGCAACGACATATTCAAGCCTCAGATCGCTCACAGCAGAATGAGCATCAGGAAAATCATCAGGAAGTGTCGTAATCTGAAATGAAGAGTTCCATCACCAATTTAGCCTTAGGGTCTATCACTTACATCAACAGAGCACAACCAACCTTTGAGAGACTACAATTTTCTACAGATAATGACGCATAGAGAGAATAACTTGAGGAGATATGACGTTTCCATAAGAAAATTGGGACATCAATTATTCAATCAACTTCGCATCAATTCAAAACTAGTTGCCGGTAATAAATACTGCTCTATTCAGATCCCATTTCATTCAAATACCTAAAGGGTTCCTTAGAGATAACACAGCAGCCTAAGAGATCATCAATTTTTATAATGATACATAAAGATAAAAGCTTGTAAAGACGTGACATTTCCATATAAAAATCGGGAAAACATACAATCAATCAAGTATACCTCAAAAACAAATTGCATCATACATAAAGATAAAAGCTTGTAAATATGTCACATTTGCATAAAAAGATTGGTTTAACAATCGATCAATCTATCTTTGCATCAATCCAAAACTAGTTGTTTCAGTACAAGAATCTTCTATATTCGTTCAGCTCTATTGTGGCCCATTTCATTCAAATACTTCAGGGGTGACTTAAAGATAACACAGGCAAACTTTCAAAAGTGTCAAATTTCTATCATAATACATAAAGAGAAGAACTTATAAACATGTGATAACAATGGGGATAACAATCAATCAATCAACTAATCCTCAATAAACAACTACTTTTGGTTCTAATACGAATCATCTAAATCCATTCCGCTCAATTAAGGTCAACTTGCATTGAAATATTAAGGGGGGATAGGCAGGGGCGGAACTAGAATGCTGGGAGCGGGTTTGTCTTAAAAAATCCATTATTGAATATGTATAAATTATTAATCTAGAACCCATTAACTTTAAACGATTAGAATCCCGAACGCATAAGTTTGAAAGCCTGGCTCCGCCTCTGGGGATAAGTGAGGGGGTTCACCTGAACAATTCCAGTTTGGTCCCTGAGGTTGACAAAAGTCAAACCACCATGAATCCGATGAAGGGCGACCCACCCGCAAAGTCGAACCCGTTTACCCACATCGTTATCGGATAATTCACCACAGTATTGAGTCCTGCTAACCCATTGAAGAGTATCAGCAGTTGTAGGAGATAGAGAAGTTTTGGTGCTAGGGGTAAGTGTTTCAACGGAAGTTAAAGGACCAGTGGCAGAGGCGGAAGAAAGTGTGCGGCTACTGATAAGTGAAGTTGGGGTAATAATAATGGGGTGGTTGTGGAAATTATTAAGGAAAAAGAAAGGTAGAGAAGTGAGAGGGGAAGGTTTTGAGCGAAGACCTATGGTGGGTAAGGAACGGAAGAAGAGGGACATGGCGATGAACAGGGAAGGATTTTTTTGTTTTACAGTTTTGTGGACAAAATTTGAGGTTTTGGAGCAGATTGAATTGGACCGTTGTGTACGCTCACACGTAAGTCGGATTCTCACAACGCAAATTTACAAGTCGTAGTAGGACAATACTGTATATAAGTTGCATTAAAGAACTGCGATTTATAATGTGCGTGTAACTTCTCACAGAAATTAGTGGAATTTTCCAACAGAAACTATACATGTTTATCCGGCGGGTTGAACGGAAAAAACTTCAGCCCGTTCATTTATCGGGCGGGCTGGGGTCGGGTTGAAAATTTTCGGGTTATTTAAGGCCCGTTCGGATTAGGGCTAAACGGGTTTGGGCGGGTTGGGCTAGTGTAATTTTTTGTTTTTCTAATTAAATTTTGACCGTTGGCAACGGTCTAAATAATAAAAAAAAAATTGTAACGGTAACCGGACTGATAACAGGCTGCAGCCCGTTAACAACCGGTTAACAGGTTAACGGGCTTAGCGGGTACGGTGCACCGTTATCCAAAATATGTTCGTCCAAAACCCGTCTCTCGACCAACCCGTCCCAGTCCGCATATTAAGCTACAGTAACGGACTGACCCGGGTTGAAGCGGGTTGAAAACGGGTCAGCCCGGCCCGATTAACACCTACAACAGAAACTGCATATTTTGGGAAAATAGTTTCTCTATGCGAAGTATACTTTGCTTCTACGCCGTTTTCTTTTTCCTTGTAGGGATGGGAGAAATTCATTATTTTTAACGACAGTTAGAAAGAATTTATCTCACCTCAAAATCTCGCAAAAGAATTAAGATAATGAACTATTATTTGAGGTATATGAATAATTAATCTAAACATAAAATTTAAGATAATATAATATTTGGGTTTATAGTACTAAATAATAATCACATTAAATTATGTGAGAATTTATGTATTATTTTAAAATTGATATAATATAGAATAAGAATATATATATTAGTAATGTAAGAATTAAACTACTTAAAAATGAAAATACGATTTTAGAATGATTAAATCATGCATAACATTATTAATCACCGCATATGCATTCATTGTTAATCATCACAAAATGTTCCCTTCATAATGAATTATCAAGAAAAATATTAGAATTACAGACAAGAGGGGTTGCTCTGATGGTAAGCAACCTCCACTTCCAACCAAGAGGTTGTGAGTTCGAGTCTCCCCAAGAGCAAGGTGGGAAGTTCTTGGAGGGAAGGTCTGCGTACACACTACCCTCCCCAGACTCCACTAAGTGGGATTATATTGGGTTGTTGTTGTTGTTGTTTGATATATATCAAACATAGATATTGCTACTCTTTCTGTTTGACTCCTTAATTTCTGTTGTGATGTTATCATATACAACTGATATAACTTTTAAGAGTTATTTCATATAATCTATAGCTTTGAAATTCTTATGTGAAATTCTCCATGGTACTAGTTTTGCTAATCAATAATCTTACTACCACAATACATATTGAAATATTTAGTTCTATGATATAATGCATATGATTTGCATTTTATTTTAAAAATGATTTTAAATGTTGAAAATAATTGGAAGAAATTATGACAATTTTAGTTAAGCAACCTAAAGAATTAATCGTCTAGAAAGCAAATTATGTAGAAGAAATTATTTTATTTTTTCTTGTTAGGATATTGAGGAAGGAAAATTCTCCCGTTGAATAAATCACATATTCGGTTGTGTGAGAATTCCAAATGGGCTTATAAGAACATAGCCAAACTTTGATTAAGTCTATTTCACGATAATTTTTCTTTGGACGTTTTTATTCTTCCAGTTTTTTCTCATAACTTAATTACTTTAGATGTTCTGTTTCTTTCTCTCAAATTTTCAATCGATTCAAACCACTAACTTTACTCCAAACTCATTATTTAGTAAAATAAAACATGAAACCGTAAGTTCCCGAATAGTGGGAGGAGCCAAGGCTCTGACTACGTGCCTGTTGAAGAATGAGTCGGTGATTCATAGGCAAACTCACCCTTTAACATGTTAAGCATGCTTTCTTTCTATATAAGGTTTGGATGCACTCTTCTATCTTAAAAAAATAGAATTAGATAATATGTTATACATCTTTTGTTAGGATCGGGAACCCGGCTAGTACGGAATTTAGTCAAACAATGGTATAATGGCAATAACAAAGATAATGAAAGTTGATAACAACGGCAATTAAAGCATATAAAGAAGACACAAATTTAACGTGGTTCGGTCAAAGTGACCTACGTCCACAAGCGGAGAGAAGTAATTTTACTATACCAACAAGAGTACAAAAGAGAGTACAAAATTAGAGTAAACACTCTAATTCACTCTAATTAATTCCAAATACCTCAAGAGAATAACCTCACAAGATCACTCCAAATAAAGGGTTCACACAAGTGTTTCCCAACACTTAACTTTCATACAAAACACTATTAATAAAAGGAAGAAAGGAAGAAACAAGAAATGAATACTCAAGTCTTGTTGGTGTGTATTTGGTGTGTCTAAAATGAACTAATAACCTTCATTTTTATAGGCAAAAAAGTCTTGGCTTCTGATCACGCCCAACTATGCCTTATAAAAAGGACAATGCGGACGTTGCAAATATAACCTGAGTATTCTGCCCAGGATCGAATCCACAGAGAATTAACCTATCAATCACTATCTTTAGAACTACTAAACTCTTGAGAACCAATTTTCCCAAACGTTTGAATCACAGTTGATGGTGTCTTCAATAACTAAAATTGCAATTAAATAAACAACTGTAAAATAAGGATGCTAAGGTTGTAAACAATAATGAGAAAACGCTAAGGTAATTACTTCCCTTATTGACGGAATCCCTTCTGTTTATGCTTCATACAAATTGACCAACACCTCTCTATCAACCATGAACGCTCATCTTACCGTAAATCTCTCCCGAGTAATCACAGTAATATACTCAATGCACTCTCCCGAGATACACTAGCTAGCTCTAATTAATACGGTTCACTTTAGATTGCACTCAAGGCTTCGTTATCCCTAATCCCGCCTTTAAACCCGCAGTTATAGATCCCTCTTATACTTTGGGAGTGGTGTTGTTCAACAATAACCTAAATATGCACTCTCTCCCGAATTATGCACACTAAATAGGCACAGCTAATTGAGGATCCTGTCAATTAACTACAACATACACAAAGTTGAACAAGTAAAGATTGAGACTAGCAATTTGTATTAGCATAAACAAGAAGTTCATCCTCAAATAGGTTCCATCAAAACCTTAGACAAAGGATTTAGCTACTCCTAACTATGGGTAAATAAACTACAACAATATTCATCATAAAATAAAGAGAAGAAGAAACCAATATGCTTTGGGTGCTCTCTCACATTTGTTCTTCTTGCCAAAAAAACTCTCCAAAATAATACATGCCTCTCTTGGGCGAAGTCTAGTGTTTAAAATAGGATTTTGGGCTAAAAATTCCGTATTTTGCACTTTAGTCCCTGAAATTTCCGCCTCCAACCGCGGTTCTACCGCGGTCGCGGTCAAACCGCGTCCAAACATGGCCTCTGATTCTTCAATTGTCTGCGTATGCACTCTGCCGCGGTTGCGGTGAAACCGCAGGTTTTCATCCTGTTCTGTTTGGAATTTGGAAAACCGCAAAACATGAAAGTTGTAGCCCTTTGTGTTATCTTTCTAACAATATATTATGGAGCCAAAATAGAGTTCTGAGTAAAAAGTTATATGTATTTTACTAGATAGTGCGCAATATGCCTCATCGAGTCTTCGTTTGTTCTCAACTATCAAATTTGACCCCCGAACACGATCCCGGCTTAATTTCTTGAGCTTTTACTCAGATTTCAAAGCTTCAAATTACTTAAATTCATTCTATAACATCTATATAGCTCGAAATCACACCTACAAGGCATAAAACACATAATTAGTGCAAAACACTAGCGATTAAAGCGCAAACTCAACTAAAGTGCAGTAAATTAAAGTGTAATAATCAACTAAAATACGTAATTATAGCCGATCATCAACACCCCACACTTAAACCATTGTTCGTACTCGAGTAATCAAACTACACTTTATATAGACACGACCTTTTTAAAGCAATTTTCCTAACTCATCACATCAAGAATATTTAAAATAGACTAAGCACAAAAGCGTAACATCTTCGCCTCAAGATTTGACTCACAAGTACCACGCATTATTCACAACTCACCCACTTACTCTAATATAGAGGTCACTGACATTACCTTTCCTTCATGAATCAAGCGCCCTTACACAAAAAAAAAAGTGGTTCCATACAATAAAATTTAAGAACACTTAGGAACTCAAGATAGAAAGAATTCACTCACTCTCAGAAATAATATTCATATGCCACAAAAGATGCACCATAAGCTTGCCCGTAGTGTACTACTCCACTAATCGAGCTCATTCAATCTAGGATCAATTAGGACTTTATTTGGTTGTAATGTAGGCTACGGGACGGGTAGGATACATTTAGATATAAGAGTGACTACACCTCCCTAAGCACTTTAATACATATAATTTAACATTCAAACCCCTTACTTATGTAAAACCAAACTCTACCTTCACATCAATATACATCAACTCCCAAATTATTTAAGCACAATTATATCAAGAGTCACCATTATCAAAGAATATATTTTTTTCTTTTCCTTTTTTTTTTCCAATTCAAGTGGCTCTTGCTTTTTCAAATCAGTGCTCCTATCTCCTTATTTCATTGGTTCCACTCAAAAGCCAAACCAACCACCCCACACTTTAACTTTTAAAAAGTTCATAACAATTCAAGTGCTCATGAGAGGTTACAATGGTTCAAATAGATGGTTAATTCAAACAAATGGGTAAGGCTTGTAATGTGGTTGCCAAAGAAACTAGATTA